CATCTGGATTAGTGCTTTTGTTGTATTAGTTATTTCTATTTAGCTGGTGAAGGCAGAGAAAAGGCATTTTCTACTCCTTAACTTCAAATAATGTTGCACCTATTATGTTTTTGTTCATTTTAACTTGAACTACAGACTGAAGGCCTCAGTCATCCTTCATTCACTCATGTGTCAGTATGCTATTGTAAGCAAATATACTCTATGTTATAAAAATTCAGCTGATGCTAAAAAAAAAAAAAAAAAAAAATTGATGCAGAACCTAGATGGTGCCACAACTCAGCCGGGGTGGCACCAAAAAGATGAGAGATGAGGAGTTGATTGAGTTTGTCAGATAGTTTCAATTGTATAAACAATAGTAATTTCATTGGTCCTGCAAACCCAGTCAAAAGCAACCATAGTAACGTGTGAATGTTCACACATTTTGGTTTCATTTTCATCCAACAAACAGCTCAAACATTGTGTCACATGAAGGGACACATGAAGCTGCGCCTTGCAGCTTCTAACCTAGCAGCTTTACTAGAAACACTATCTGACAACACCTTTAATTTCAAACTGCATTGTGAGGATGTGACAGAATCTGACCCTGCTGCTGTCTGCATTTCGCTTCATCCAGTAAAGTCAGAAATCAGCTGCTGGGAGTCACTGGAGCAGCCTGGTGCACATCAAGGAAGAGGAGCTGCAGGCGGGTGAACTCAATTTAACTGGAATCAAACGGGATCGGTCCAGAATAAATTTAGTTTATGATGTTCCAACAAGCACAACTGTGGTAAATGTAACAATGTGCTTCCTATACATGCAGCTGTCCAGATGAGATTATACCTGATGATCAGGTGGTGTTCAGGAAAAAAGTCAAACTCAACTTTATGCAACTTTTTGAACCACAGTGACAGAAAATCACCCCTCTGCTCCACTACTACCGATGAAGTCTGAGATCTGAGATCATTCTGCATAACAGACTTCTGTCTAAGTTATCTCTTGTCAATATTTTCAGTGAATATAGCTAATAAAGCCTGAAAGCTGCTGTGAAGCATTTTCTCATGTTTCTATGACGTCACAGTTGTTGTGGACTCAACTTTAAAAAATATGACCTTGCACAACCTCTAGCATGGACCTGAATATTTATCTTACAAACTTTAAAATGGTGTGCTCACTGTTTTACAACCTGACATTCTACTACGGGGTAATATGAGATGTTCTGGTAAAGGATGCATAGGCTCAGTTTTTAAACTTGAACAAAAATCTTACTTGTTAAACTGATGCATCATACACACGTCTCTTGGTGTACTTTAATCAACAGCTCAGTACTAGTATTAGATCCAAAGTCCTGCTTCTGTTCAGACTCAACCCAGCCATGTTTCATTCAGCTCCATGATGTGGTTCTCTCCCATCATCTCGTTCCTATCTTGCTGCCATTGAGCAGAAGTGGACTCCACCAACACAGTCAAGGGTTTCTCCCATCTTGCCTGAGGCAGCTATAACTCT